CAGCAGCACTATGAACCAGAATAACGTCTAACCGCTATTCCCTCAGCTTACTACCTCGCTCACGTCACACATATTATCACATTAAACATCACTATTTCACTAGTGAGAAAGACCATTGATGAGACCATTACTACCCAGTACTGACTATTGTTTTTCACTCGAATGAACAATAATTGTAAGCTTTGTAAGTATTTGATATGGTCTATCCCAATGTAGATACAATATGGCATTTCCCTTCTGGCAATGAGGTATGAATATGGATGGTTAAATGCCAGCAAAGACAACAGCTACGCAAAAAGTGCATTTGCAGCGTGTTACAATAAGAGCAGCATAGTGTTTTTATTCCAATTAAACAAATATTTAAGGATTGACTGTGTATTCATTGGGGTCATTGGGGTTAGCAACTTCTGCAAACCAGGTAACCTGATTGTATGTTAAGCTAACTGCTGCACAGTAATATAATACCTCTATATATCTAGTTAAATCCACCCTGTTCGTATCAACAATTCACTACCATGTATACAGCTTTTTGCCTTATGTTATGAAGCCATGTAGATTAATTACATAAAAACATCTTAACATTGCTCGAGTGTGAGGGTTCGTGTATTTGCAATCACATATATTCATTATTTTCAGGTCTGTTTGTACCAAATTTCTATTACCTATCAGATGTCAGGGAAATGTACTGTTCCGAATTTCAAAAGGAAAATAAACGTTGTATCCAAACTGTCGTCTCCAACAACATGATTTATCATGCAATGGTTAGAGTTATAATCGTGATCCGTGAACCAGCCAGTGATAAACACGTCCCATTATTAGCTGTGGTACGAGGAACACTAACGTGTCAGGCCCTGAGCCCATCACAAGCACATGCAGCCTGTCCAAGAAGAACACGAACATCTTCATGACTGAAATCTACGATAATATTCCACATCCGATGTTAAGAAAAGGTCACCGTGAAGAATTGGACATGGGATTCATTATTGACACTCCGAGGTCTAAGAGTGAGTGAGTGAGTTGGGTTTAACGCCGCTTTTAACAGTATTCCAGTTATATCACGGCGTGTCAGCTTAATGTGGGAGGAAAGCCCGAAGTGATGTAGGTCTTAGACGTTTACCACTTCCGTGAAACCCACGAGCACGGGTATGGTGCTGACAAACCTAGAAACATAATCGGGACGAACCGGGATTCGAACCCACAATCATAGGTTTCTGGCGTGCCCAAGGGACGCAACTCTGCACAGCGATTTGGGGCCCCTCAATGGTTAAGAAGTGAATGTGAACAATTTAACGTTGTCGATAGCTAACATAAAAGCTGAGTCTTTTGGGGCAAGCATTTGGTTCAACTGTGATCAACTAGGTAGCGACTTCGTTCATGTCCTCATCTGTGAAAAAACAGACAGTCATTCAATATATTTTCAAGAATTTCATAAAATTATCTTGGCGTTGGATCTAGAAACGATTAAGCCGTTTCTTGAAAAGATGCACACTCTAAGTCAGTATGTTCCAAACTAAAAATTGAAGAATCGGTTTCAGTCCTCAAATATAGTAGTTTGATTAAAAAGTGTTGTTTGAAACATACTTGGGATTCCTTTTCGGGAACACGAGGTATCATCAAGATATAAATATTGTGAAAATAACTTTATTGCTGTGTACCGCGCCTCACTGTCAGTAATCGTGCCTCTTTGTACTGCCGGCATGTTCTTTGTTATGTTGGTAAATTCGAAATTTACGCCCAGCATGATATGTAAAACGATGGTGGTATTATACGCCAATATCTGAACAGTGATAAGATGTAAGGGTCCTCTTCCACTAACTGATTATGACAATGTGGACGAAAGCTGAGCCTCGATGCATGCTAAATACCGTTGTTGGGCTTGGTATTTCAACCCTATCTCGAATATAAGTTGATCCCAATTGCGGGGCAATGTAACTTAATATGAAAGGCCTTCAGCACGAAATTCGTCTCGACTAGTTTTGAAAAGGACACTTTACAACCATTAACCAGATTTAATGATTGAAATGTACTTATTTGTAGACATGAGAACGATATGGTGTTCACATCGATTGTTTATAATAACTTTGGAAGGGACAGGTCATAGCGTCACGCCAAAGCGACATAGCATGACGTCACAGCGTCAGTGCAGGTACATTATGTTTATATTCTTGTGGAAGTCCATTTAGTGGCCGTGTAAACAGCAAATGATGGAACTACCAGTACAAATATAAAGTACTGTCATGAGTGGATTTGAACAACAATCAACAGCAGCGAATGGAGCTTTCCAGAATGGTAATGTGCTAATACTAGGGTTATCTGCCCTTGTTGTGTACATGAACTTGATCGTTCTGGAAGTTTCTGGACAGGCAGTTTCTAAAAGGCTGGGTGGACCGATAAGAGCGCCAAGAGGGCGATTCGAGGCCTTTTCGAGCTGCCTTGTTTCTGATGTACTTACCAAGTGCGGTTTGGATACCTATGTGGAAACACTAAATCGTCGAGAACATTATTCTGCATTCAAGAATGGAGACAGGCCTCTTTGAAGACAATGGAAGTTCTCTAAACATGTGTGAGTGCATTGACACTAAGCCTGTTTCTCATCTGACCCAATGTATTGCCTTTTCTTACTGTCAACCTAAAACTGTATGTATATCATTTATTGATTACTCATTGATCTTGTGTGGGCATCTTCTGATATTGCAGTTTATTACTGCACGTACCGGTTTCTGGGTTATACTCTTCGTTTCAACCTCAATATCAGTGTTCTCAAACTTTGAAAAGCATCACTGAATCATGGAATTTGTCTACAGTAACAGTTTGAACTATAGATAACGTGTATCTCAAAGACAAACAATCAAAATTCGAATCTAAATTCAGTTACATGCTTTCAGTGTTGTACGCTGCTAGATGTATTCACAAGAAAGTGTTCAGTATAATAAAGAGAAGGGACTGCCATTTTGTACGGCAATCAAGTCATCAAAGCGGCAGTAAAATAGTTACCCGACAACCGTTCAACATTTTTGTCCTGTGGCGTTTGGAAAAAAAATAGTATTGTTTTTATGTCTTGCATCCCGACGGGATCACATATGTCCGGATTTTTCCTCCACCGTATCCATGTCCGTGAGACGCATCCATATTGACTTCTACACTTGTCCGTAGTTATTTCCACACGTAAATACGGATGGTGTAACGGATGTTGAAGCGAGACACGTCCGTATTGAGCTTGGAAAACGTTTCTTGATGGCTATTATAGCTAAAATGGATAGAATTATCATTAAACCGCCCGCATGTTATCAGAAATGAGTGGGCCACCGTAACTTGATAATGCCCTCATATTGCTTGACGACGGGCCATTATCACGCCCGTTGTTAGGTGACGTCATAGGATAGGGATAGGTTACGTCACGTTGAATAGTGACGTCATCTGGTTTGTTCTATGACGTTTCCATATTTGTAAAAGTAGGTCAGTGACATTCGTGTTGATTGCAGTAAATGTTTCAAAACCGATATTGTTGTTTCTTTTTATTTGATAACAAATTCCATCCATTTTAGCTATAATAACGGTAACGCTATTTTTCAGGGCATTATCATTTGCAGAAGCCCTAGGTCTTTTCAACTGCCCTCCTTCGTCGGGAAGTTAATAGAAGACCTCGGGCTTCTGCAAATGATAATGCCCTGAAAAATAGCGTTACCCTTACATCAATGACCCAAGTGGCAGTTTAATATGTTACACGGTCTGATAGACAGACATTCACAAATTCAACTTGTGCTATGTATCAACACTCCATTAATAGAGTGTTAAGTTGATTTAACTTCGATTTCAGCATTTCATTTAACGACAGCCAAAACTGATGAACGTATTGCCTCCTGGGTGAAACCGACAGGTATGGTGCTGACAAACCCATTGCTGACGAATCTGTTAAAGGAGGAGTGGATTACACTGTATCCGTAGTTAGCAAAGCTTTATCGTCGCAATTCGCGCCTTCAAGAAGTTAATCGAGCCACACTATCGTGAATTATAACTAAAATGGATGGAATTATCATTAAACCGCCCGCATGTTATCAGAAATGAGCGGGCCACTGTAACTTGATAATGCCCTCATATTGCTTGACGACGGGCCATTATCACGTCCGTTGGTAGGTGACGTCATAGGATAGGGATAGATGACATCACGTTCAATAGTATAATCCGCTATAATGCATGTATGTCTCAAACCTAACGGTATAATCCGGCATGATGCATGTATGTCTCAAACATAACGGTATAATCCGGTATAATGCATGTGTATCTCAAACATAACGGTATAATCCGCTATAATGCATGTATGTCTCAAACATAACGGTATAATCCGGTACAATGCATGTGTATCTCAAACATAACGGTATAATCCGCTATAATGCATGTATGTCTCAAACATAACGGTATAATCCGCTATAATGCATGTATGTCTCAAACATAACGGTATAATCCGGTACAATGCATGTGTATCTCAAACATAACGGTATAATCCGGTACACTGCATGTGTATCTCAAACATAACGGTATAATCCGGTACAATGCATGTGTATAATCCGGTTTTATGCATGTATATCCCAATCTGTACAAAAACTAAGCAGACCATGGCACAAGCACTCTGCTATCAGTCTTGTTTGTGTGTTGTTCAGAGCCTGTAAATAATTGGGCTGGGCCGAACAAAAATATTGATATTACGGGTACGGGTACGACGAGACGCAACCAAGAGAGTCACCGAGCCTTACCACCCGATCCATTACGTTGCCTCGTACGACATGAATGACGTACTGAGAATCGTTTCCGGCTTGGAATCCTCTCTTAGCAAAACAAAGAGAAACAGTCGAACCAAAAACAACGACCGGCATTCAGCTGACATGGAACTTCTTGTCATGAATATCTTGCACCCCCCGCCAGCACCTCACTGGAAAATTGCTAAATGCGATGTAAAACAATGTTCACTCATTCATGTTATGAAAAACAAGGCAACACATTTATACGGATTAATTTTTTTAATGTCGTTACTAGCACCCCTATTTACATGACGGATAGTTAATGCTAGCTACAGCCCCACCCACCAACAGCTTGCATTGACATTGTACATCGCATGATGGGCGGACAGTATGAAGCAGTAATACAAACTACATACAAGTGCAAAAAACATTTACATTCACGGTATAAAACCTATAACTGTGGTAGTTATTCACCAATTATAATATCGCGAAACAATGCAGATTCGTTGATATATGGGATGGTTCTACTTACATTCCTAAACTGCACACTCGTGTTTTATTGACAACTGAATGGCATGTTTTATGGAGTAAAACCTGGACAGGGCAGACGTAGTGTGCATGTGTTTATACAGATATAACGGTAATGGTAGGATTTACCTATTGACCTCGTTCGGAGGACCTTCGGGGTGTATCTGTCTTGCGAGTGTAGGAACACCATGATAACAAACGTAATCAAGAAATTGGTTATTGAATTAACAAATTATGTATGAATGGTACATCGATCAACATGTAACAACATTTAGTATTGACTTTCAATATAAGGTACTCTCTGCTACCAAGTGCAACGTTTTGAAATAGATAGATCTGATAGAGTTGGCAAAGATGTGTTTGAAAACAGCACGTTAAGGCACAGTATTCTTGGGTGTATAAGTTAAAAGGCACAAACAACAAAATGTCTTAAACTGTGACAAAATAACCGTCAATATCGTCCACATTTTAAGGCACATTTATTAGTTATAAAACACAATTCCATAACGTGACCTTCATGAAAACATATATACTAAAAACACCGGCTTTGAAGTAACTGGTACACGGTTGTAGTGTTCAGTGTCTGCACAAAAATATATCAAAGAGATGGAAACTTTTGGATACGTCACGAACTTACACAACCAGGTTTTGTTTAACTAATGCGTAATGCTTAAGCAATGAAAGATAAATGAGCCCAGATATTCCATAGACGAAACGTGTATTTTGCTAGCCGAGAAAAGATTGCAATTAACAGAACCGATTGGGCAACTGCTGCGTACATAATTAAGAAGGAAAAGGGTAACAAGGGAGAAGTATTTATGTCACTGGAATTTCAGAACGTCCCAGGTTCGGCAATCAGAGATGCAGTTTTCAATATTGTTTTTGCAACAGAAGTAATATACATTCGGTGGCTTGTAAATGACAAGAGATAAGACGCTAAACAGAAACGAAGAACGACAAAACAGTTTATCAAAAAGTTGGAATGGACATAACGGATCTTAAGAACGAATGAAGCAAATTTACATTTTTACAAAGTCTAAGAAACTAATTGGAGATGAGTGATAAATGCAAGGTTTATGTTGTAATGGACGTCAACAGCACTCATTAACATGCCTAGTTCTGATCACGTCATTAGCATAATGGACTGTCTTTTTAAATAGTTTGCATAGAACACCAAAGGCAGGTTAGTCATTTAAAAATGACGCTATTCTTATACTAACCTGTATGCTACTTATGAAAAGTGTTTAAGGAGTATACAGAACAAGAAATGAATTCATAAACAAATAATGTGGTAAACGATAAACTTAGGTCCTTTAGTTAATGTAAATACTTAATGCAATGCCTTTCATTCTTATGTCTGTATACGTCATTACTTTGATGATCTGCACACATAGTTAAATTGTAATTCAGTACTATATTAATACGAGCAGTGTTATTTTAAGCCACAAACGTACATTACCCTCACATTTGTGCAACAACAAAGACTAACATGGGTTTTCATTACAATCTCAGCTTAATGGACATGACCGCAGCAACCAACAGAAGCATTGAAGAGCTCCAAGCATTGACAACGGAACCTCCGTTTGAATTATATTTCAAAGTATGACTACAATTGTTCCCATTCACCATTGAACCTCCATTTGCGGATTTGGAAGAAAGGTAAAGAACGAAGCTAATTTCTGTGTTTGAGTATCGTTCAAGCAGAGGTTCGCTGACTTCCCATCTGTGATTTTCAAAATCATCGGTGAGGTCAATTGTTGTATCATTTCCAAACATTTCCGTGTCACTGGCAGATACGAAACCGAGGCTAATTTCACATGTTTGGTTAACATTTCCGGGTTGGGTGCGACACATTGTAACCAATGCCTCTCTTCTGTTCCACGTCATTTCGCCGTTGTGTTTGATGGATACTTTTGGGGCGAACATTGCTCTTGGAGGGACAGCTCTGAAAAATATTGTTTAATCGTTTTACAGGAACTCTTTCCCATTCAGGTATATAAGTTTATCGTCCAAAACTTGGTCACACAGGAGATATCGCTTGTTTTAGATCAGGCGATATCTACTTTATAGATATCGCTCAATGAAATTGCCTCACAATGCTTTGCAGACCTATGTGACGTCATTAGTTACCATGACGTCACAATCAAATGACATCACAAATGGCTTTTTACACTCAAGACAGTGCTTATTACTTTCTAGAGTTACAAGCATTCACGATGGTTATGTGAGGCAAGAATAGTATAGAAATGTGTCTCACCCGTTCGTGTAGACGATATCAGGAGACCATACCGCGCTCACATTAGCAGTGATCTCCTGGACCTGGTAGGGGTACCAAGCTAGTCGCTTGTCTTTCCACAACTAACGAAAAAGAAAAGTTGGTATAGCCCCAATAAATAATAAACACCAAGGTACCACATCGGTAACGTCATGTTGAATTGCAATGAATGAGGAAACGGTGGATTTGTCCATCTGAAATCTGTATTTCTGGAAAAGTGTGTCAGTGTATTAACTTATTCACATGTGTTTTTGTATTTAGTTCATCAATACATCTTTATTTCATCCATTAATTCTGGTTCTGATTAGTTGGTATATTCAAACCAAACCTGCCTTGTTTAAAATCTCATTTAAAAACTACTTGTGTTATTTGAGTTGAGTAGTATACAGATGTACCCTTTCTTCGCAACTTTTAAGGTGGTTTAGCGTAATAATGTGAGTGTGTGAAAACAGTCTGTAATATTCGAGCTATATGACAGTAGCATGTTCATAATCGAGTCTTGAGAGGTAAACCTGCTACTGAAAACATGCGCAATGATTGGACATTGGGACACGGTGACGAACAGTCCGTCAGCCATTCACGGACCTTGACCACCCGGTGCTGTCTGGTCTTCGCCAGAATCATCACATACAGACCTACAGACGTGTCACTTACGATTTTCATGTCCAGCAGTGACTCCATCTCTCTTCGGTTGAGGTCCAGATCACGAATGTGGTATAATGTGGCCTCGACTGTCACTAGGACAGGGTTGGGGAAGTTATCTGGGGGACGAACTCTTTCATTGTACTTGTGAAAGATGGTAGAGTAGATCTGAGCCGCCTCTTCTTGAAATGCATCAGGGTCGTTTTTGTCTCTTTCCTGTGCCACAGTCCCATAGATACTGAAACATCAAAACATAATCGATTAGGGATATCCTTTCACATACCACTGTCACACGAACGGTGAGTGAGTGAATGTAGTTTGATGCCCCAGTCAGCAATATTCCAGTTTCATCACGTCGGCGTAAAAATATTTGAGTCTTGACCAAACTAGTGGTGAGATATTATGTTCAACGCCCCACAAACAGTCAACCAAGTCAGAGAGCCCGAGCACCCAATACATTGCAGTCGCGTCTTACGAAATAAAATCAACAAATCTATTTCCTTTTAATCAGAAGAAATCTATGCCAAAATGTGTCCATTGAACGACCCCGACTACATAATTAGGAAAAGATTTATAGGTCCTATTTATAGGTTACAGGCAGCTATGGTTATCGGGGACTGGTTGAACAATGTAATCCTAACAGGGTCACGCGTACGGTGTAAACAGAGTAAAAGAAGAAGCCATCACTTCATTTAAACTTGATGACGCCCGGTGTCCACGGAAAGGATGAACATCTAAGCCATACTTGCTAGCATGGCTTGATTTATGAGGGTGATTTTAGCAATAAGTGCTGAAATTAAGACAAGGGAGTATTTCAGTCAATGTCTAAGTTTACAGGTGATAAATGGAAGACATGATACTTACGAACGTCAAGGAATTGGGGAATATAGTAGCCATGTCACAACTACACAAAAAGTGACTATTCAAGAACCTACGCTCACAAATCACTGCACTTTGTACGCCAGAAACAGGTGAGTATGTCACTCCCTGTAAATGTTAATGCTGAGGGTTATGCCACTTTACCAGGGTTTAAAGCACTATGATAAGTAGAGGAAGGCGGGGGTTCAAGTGTTTAAGATATTTGTAACTTGAAGACGAATATATAGACATCTTATTCTTGGTCGGAAATATGAACATATGAACAAGGGGTTTGCCGCAGTGAGTGCTCGGTTCAAACAAATGAACACTAAAACTTAGGGATCACGAAATAGTTATGTGTACAACTCAGCCTTCGGTACAAAAAAAAACAAAAATATTCGTCATCCCAAACCTTTTTGGTGCAGCAAAAAATGCCCATTTCCTGGTATCTAATACATGTACCTTAGAAAAACTAAATTAGTTGGAGCAAGAACCCTGCCCTGTCTATTACCTCGCCAGTCAGAAACAAGATATGGGTCATGTATTTATCGACTATGTATAGAGCAGGAACAGACTACCTTAACGAGAAATATCGGGGCAAACTATCGTCTAACCAAGCCGTGTATTTGACAGATCCATCCAGCAGGTGCGCTGTCAATCACTCGCCTTGTACACATACACACGTCCCCTCAGCATGGCTGATGTTTGAATGCATCATTGCTTGAGATAATTGGTGATATATATTCCCTGCATCTGGTAAGCAGGCCCTGTTTATGTACCTGTATCTATATTATGGCCGAGGTGTCCCGTCATGGACCGTCTGACCTCGCCCCATGAACACAAAACCCTCGCTCTATTTGCCCGCGACAAACATAAAACTTCATCCTTCTCAATAAGTAATTGGACACGCAAATGGATTTTCTCTTCCCAAAAGAGCAATGGTAAACATTTTGAAATTGTCACCGGAATTCTATCTAGCTCATTACACGCTTGTAAGAATAAGAAATGGGAACAGGAACACCTCAACAACGTGGTTCACTGTGTTTTGATTTATTTTTCAAAAAGTATTACCATTATCCTAATGACACAGGGGACGTCACCTTTGAAAGCACCGAGAAAACGACAACAAATGCGATATCAAAGATATCCTATTTCAAGTGCGATTAGAGGTGATTATTTTCATAACGTTAACTATATAGTTAACCGGAATCTGACTTATCCGGATTGTTATCAATACCGTACATATGTTACCGGTCCAAGATAAATTATCATAAATAATAATATTTTTTTAACCATATCTTTTTCTCCTATTTCTATGTCTCCTGTTGATATCTGACTAATTCCTAAGTCCGGATATGACAGATTCCACTGTATATGCAATTTAGAATTTGAATTGTAAGTGGAATGTGGATGATATCTAAAATCTCCTGGGTGTTTTCCAGTTGCCGTTCTAAAATTTGAAAACATTTTACAAAATGTTTCAGACGAGCTTCCAGTCACGGATGTGACAGGAATGTACGAGTCATGCGGCGAAAGTCCTTGTAGCGTCTGATGCATTGTTATAGTTGCATACGAATTATCATAAATATCATCATGTAAATAGAACTTAAATGTATCATTTGTGCATCTTAATTGAATAAATGGCTGGTTCACACAAGCACTTAACTCGGTCATAGAGTATCATTAATGCACACTCCACCAGAAACACGTACAAGGTCCTTCCCAAAATAGAATCAAGCAGTTGTCAAGACTCCATCATTTCACTGAAAACCACACAGTGATGTTGAACGGATCAGTTGGACGACGATTCTGATACGCATCTGATAACATCTAATGAAAGAACCACAAGTCTGGCTTTGCACTGTCAGCGATTTTCTGCAGTCTAATGTATGTTTCAAAAAAACTCAGCCAACATGCAAGCTTAAATGAGAAAAACAAATTTAACATTAAACGATTGGCAAATATCTTGAAGAGTTTAAGACAATCCTTTGCTGTGGTAGGTAGCCGGATATTCTACTGACGTATACTCAAAACAACCATAAACAGGGCATGATCAACTGACAATGAATGTACGGTGGTATACATATCAGATCATTGTTTCCATTTGTCTCATAGTCAAGCCATAATGGCATGTTTCTGTCAGGTTATGTTCCGCAATTTCATAATTTGGTTAAAAAATTGGATTTGTATACTTTTGCTTGCCTTTATAATGTTCTGATTCAATTATATGCAGTTGATATACGATTCCAAATATGTTTGTTTTAAATAAGTTTTAACATTTTTATTCAAATTTTTCAAAACAGTATTCAAATGATATCGTCATTAGATATTTGGTGAAGACCAAATCATAGTTCAGAAGATTAGCATCTAACGATATAAATTGTGGAAGTCCATCTGAATAAAATCTCCATTTGTCCTTTTCGTCATGCTCCATCGTAAAAATAATATTCTACACCCTAAGGCTAGGTAATCTGAACTTTGGATAGGGTGCACACACAAACCACTTTGACCACCCAATGTGGAAGCGAATATAGCTCCCTAGTAACCTATCTTTGTCGTATGAGGCGACCAATTGGATCGGATGGTTGTCATCTAGACTAAAATCTAGTCTCTGAAATGAACATATCGTACATAAAAAAACAGTTGTTTAGTTATCTTAATAGAAATATAATAAAAAGGAGCCCATTGACTCTCTTCATTTTCAGATACTGCAGTGATCTAGACTTGCCAAAAATTATAGACTTGCATGGGCTGTATTTGATATATATTTGTATCAGGGTCTGTAAGACAGACTAGTTGTCATCGTATCCCGATTGTGTGGATCGAAGGCCATGATGTCAATCACTGAACTGTCTGATCCAGACACAAATATTTGCCAACCGCCGTCATATAGCGGAGGTATTGATGAGTGCGACGTTAATCAACAAACAAAAGCAAACACTTACACGTAAGTTTAACAGGTCTGTAAGTTTTCCATCCTACATGACCAACTTTTCAGGAGATTTACAGTTCACGTCAATAAAAAAAAAACAGTTCTATTGGTTGTGTTTACGTTGGCAATGAACAACATCGTTATCATTATCAGATAGAGCAAGATGCAATACATCATGACAGATCGTGCAAGTTCAATTAAGCTTTTCCTTGTGTTGGTGTTGGCTGCACTATGCGAGCAGTGCTCACACTCGTGATTGCACTGGTTCTGTGATTTGAGAGGTCTTTACCTGTATATATTTAACAAAACGTTAGACAATTTTGGAGTATGTTCGAATCCGATTTGTGGGCTGACAATGCTTAGTGTAAATCAGAAACCTTTTGACAATTTATTCAAATGTTGGTCTAAATCCGAACTCTTGGTTATGTTATCATCATCATTGTTAATGGTCACTTTGCGATATTTATACATTATAAACTGTCATTAAGATGTTAGACAAGGGCAGTGACAATGTGTGAGGGTATGCTACAACTTCATATGTGATCATATGTACATGTAGTTTTATAAAACAATCAGTTTCATAGCTTTCGCCAAAACAGCGAGAATCCATTGTATTGATATGTCACTAGGTGTTCCTCTGACATCATAGATTAGTGTCAACGTCTTCTGGTGCCATTACAAGCCGAGTGCACAATACACTAACACCACAGACGTCTAGATCAAGCGATCTAGCGAATGATCGTAAACTGTTGGGAGTTTGCGGAATAGCGTGAAATTCGAGTCATTTTTTTACCTTTTCTACTTTCAAAACTTCCCTTTGGAATTATGTTTTTAGCGGAATATGTTATGAAATATCATCAAACAGTGTCGAAAAGAATGTGTTCTTTAAAAAGGTCAAATTTCACATCATGGAAGTTTGTGAAAACGATGGTCTCTGCTGAATGTTAACTGATAAATAATACACGAGGGAAGTGCCGACGTCCGATCTATTTTAGGCTGTACGTAACCAACTGATCAGCATCAATCAAGACCTGAAATCTCACGTTCGGTTATTTCCGTAAATATATACCGATAATGCCAGCGCCATCTGTAGTCGGACTGATGAACGACCAGTAACCAGATCAGCAGGTCACGGGTCATGAACACTCATAAGCTGTTCCAGCAAGGTCGGGCAAGACGACTGCTGGTATAATTGGTACAGTCTGTCTAACACACGTCATAATATTAGTGCGTATGAAGTAACTATATACGTTGGTTAAGGAGAGCGTCGTGTACTGGAACAACACAAGCCACTGCAACAGTCTTGTAACTTTTCGAAAAAGCATTCGTTACCATGACTCATAATCCCGATAGTTATTATTTGCTTATAGAAATAAACTACACATTTCTTTTTCTTACTCGTACGTAGGGTTTGTCGGGTAGTCCCGTGATTTAAGCATAAGCGTTCG